CGTATTGCTGAGCAGTGTAAGCAGTAGAAGCAGAATGCGAGGCATGGTGAAGAGTATTTCAGAATACAACCATCGGCTGAGCAAACGCAACCCAGGATTCCTGGTGGCCTAGTTCAGGGGGAAGAACAGAAGCAAAGCTAGTGAATCAGTAAAACTAGCTGGGTATGCTGTGGCAAACCCTAGGTTGCAAATATCTTGGTTCCATGTTTTAACACTTTGGGGAATCAACAGTAAATTCAGGAATCGATTGATAAAGGCAATGCAGAAAGGGAAAGAGACAAGCGTCGTAGTGTGTGATTATAAGTTGTCGATCAAACTAAAGAGAAAGGTATATATGACAATGTTAAGACCAGTACTTCAGTAAGGAGTGGAGTGTTGGTTGCTCCGTATAAATACGAATGTTTCGATGGGTGTGTGTATGGTTTCAGCAAAGAGGACCACATCATGAATATCTTGATAATAGGTACTTTAGTGATAGCTTCATTGTCAGAGAACTTGGTCAATAGCAGTCTGCGTTGGTACAGAAGAGAAGAACCAATGATTGCGTTAGAAGTGTGGTCCAGGCGCTGATGCTGCCAAGGAGCAGTAGGATGGGAGGACTAAAAGAGATGTCGCAGTTTCATAAGAAGAATATGAAAGTTTTTGGTGTGAAAGAATATTGGTCAAAAATAGAAAATGTGGAGGCAGTTGACTCAAACAGCAGACCCTAGTTGAAAGGGACATGCTAGGTGAAGTAAGACTGATTCCTTCTGAGGAGAGCTGCTGAGAAGAGCAAGTAGTTTGACCATTCGAGTCAATTTGAAAAGTCGTATTTGAAGCGAGGAAATATTACAAAACGGTATTAGAACTGCTACATAAAGGAAGTGTGTAATAAATTCTGAGGGTAATATTAGCAGATGAGATGTTACTATGAAAAACGATTCTCCCCTAGTTTCATCAGGCTGGATGAGGATACGTTCATGTCAGTTTCACTGAAGTGAGTTCAAAATTTTGACACCAGCATATTAAATCATCTGGAGTTTGCTAGCTTCTGCTCTGTCTTGTACACAGAAGCGGAAAAGTTTTGCGTTTCAGTGGACGAATTGTTTTTCATTCGATATCAGGACGTAATAATTTTACTATCCGAAACGAAAACGGTTTTCAATGAAGTGACCGTGTGGAACCTTTGATAGTTTTCAATTGTCAATAAGAACTAAGAATATGACTTCTGACTATGGGTCTTTCGAGCGTCATGTCTTCAGCGTATTTCAGGCAAAACTTATTTCTATTTCTAGGAAATTAAAGTCGAACATAACTAACTCTTAAGCAGTTACATGGTTCTTAGGTAACGTTTCGGGATTTCTTCCTACCCATTGCGATTAATCACAATATGTTGGAACGATAGACGACAAATAATTCGAGTGATACTTTTATTGTCAGGCAAATCGCAGAGTTTGTCGAGAAGAAGTTTACGAGGTTTAGGGTTGAAGGTATTCAAACAACCAGACAAGATGTCCTTGAGTATGAGTGTTTGTCATGTATAATTGATGACCTTTTGAAGGTACGTTATTCAAAAACTGGTGGATGCTAAATTTATTCTCTGTTCATACTCAGCACTGTGGATAGCAGCCATGTCCTGCGTTAAACGGCTACTTAGCTACCAAAATTAAGATGGCGGTGCGAATCCAGAAATGTGACAGGAGATTTTTATGTTTACTGGCGGTATTAAAAACTATCAGTTTGCTAGCAAACTAGTAATAGTAAAAATGTTGATGATATAATCTATGTAACCTTTTTAATGATATTATAGCTTAACATAACTGCTACTAATGCGTAATTGCTTGATTGTTTTGTATACAATTAAATAGGTTGTTTCCGTTACGTTTCGTTCTATTTCGCTTTGGTGTGAAATAGCCTATATTATTTTCTGAATTCTTCATGTTGTAGAATCTACAGGTTCTGTCAGTTGTTCATTTGCAAAGCTGTTTATTCGTTTTCTTGTTTTGTGTATTTTTACTTTTGTTAATTTTTTGAAAAACAGCTGTGTTTGTGATTCTGTTCAAGCAGGGAAGTTATTGCTTGACACTTTGTTCATAATGTAGACATGGTGGACGAAGCTTACGCGAAGCAACGCATCGATTTTGTTTCTGACAATGCCGGCACCACTTGGTGGGAAGTGGAGAAGCTGGTTGCCGTCGGCCCGACGTGCATTCTTCTGCGAAATATAGCGCTGCCATGGCTGTTTCCCGTCAAGAATTTCCGCGTCTCTTGTACTCGAGACAAACTGTAAGTACTTCGAAACCCCAGATGTTGACTAAAAATGCTTCGGTATTTTGCTAATTCAAAAATTGTTATAAAATTTATCCACTGGAACTGGCTGAAATCAGGAGAGTGCTTGAAACCGGTGCTGCGGTTTTTGAACAGCAAATAAAAGGAACAAACGGAAATTGGAGTTTTTTCATGCAATGTATAATATAATGGGGGGAGCAATAAGCTGAAAGATGTCCAGCGGAATTAAGCATGAAGAAGATTGCCTCTTCAACAAATCGTTGAAAACATCGTAAAACAGGTTGTTTTGACAGAGTGTGAACAATTTGCTCAGTTAGTCGGTTATTGACCAGTACCTACTTTTTGTCCCCTGGTCTTACGGAGTTTCTTTTATGTAGAGAGGTTAATTGGCTTCGTAGCGGTTCGTGGTTCAGTGCCAGAAGTCGAACTTCTGGTTTATGCCATTCGTTAAGTGGTTTCTTCGCGAGAGGTGTCAGAGCACTCATCCAACTCGCGCAGAGTTGCTGTCTTGTGTCAGGATTGACGTTTTCGTGGGACTGGATGATTTTCTGCTTCCTTGACACGTCCTTTCAGCCTGTTTCTTTGTTTGATGATGTCCATGCATTTTCACAATGCTAGGAGAGAATCATGTTGCATAATGCCCGAGGTTTTTTTCACATTGTTCCGAAACTTGGCTTCGGTTGAGGCTTGGTATTCTTCCTGAGTGCTTCTTTGCCATGTGGCTTTTTACGCTGTTAAGCGACCATCTATTTTTTCCTGCTTGAGAGGCGGACCTTGATTCTAGAAATCCTTCAGAAGCTTAGTCGTTCCCATGAATCTAGATGCCAAATCCCTTGTGGCTGCAGGAACACGTCTTTCAAGTCAGCGAAGCTATTAAAACCACACTGCTCGTGGCCTGTAATCACCATTGGTTGACTTACCTGACGGAATTATGGGTAATCAAAACCTGCGAATTAAGCTCGAAGGAGATGTGATAGTTGGACAAGAACAACTGAAGCTAAACAGAATGAAAAATGTGTAGGCGAGGACGAGAAAGCCGTAAAGTAAGCTCTTAGCTTTACTAGCAAAGCTGGTGTACAAAAAGATTATTAAAATAGCACAAAAATACACTGTTTCGATGAAGTTGATACTCTCTTCTACAACATGTTCTTTGCGATATGCTTTACGTGACGCAGGCTGTTTTGCATTGATTAAATACTTCATACTGCAGCTTATTCGACTGAGTATTAATAAGCCTTGCCTGGTTCTGTTCTGAGATTTGGCCATTTTTGTCTTACTCATTTGCTAACGGAAGTTGGGATCGACAGCATTAAATATTGTTCAGGTTGAATTTTTGACGTAGGTTTTAAATAATTTACGCATTTAAAATGCTGCTGTGATTTTCTGTTCGATACTTGCTGAGGTCTAAAAAGCACTGGCGGACAAATCCTGTCTTGAAAGTCACAAAAATATGAACGACCCAAAAGTATTTTTTGCAGACAGTTTATGCAAAAGAGTTTATTCTAACTGTGTAAACTGACCTTAGTTTATGCTATAATAATTAATCAAAAAAGCTTACTGCTTTAATTAGTGGAAATGGCACATAAAATTTGCACCGACTAGCATTTCTGCAATCATTTATCTGTAAGCATAACAGTATAGATTTAATCCATAAACAAACAACAGCAAACATTATGCATAATAATGCGACAAGCAGTATAGAATGATGAAGAGGAGACGTGTCAGTGTGTAAAAAGTGAATACAAAATAATATTTAAAAGGATTAAATTGAATGTACTCTGTGTATGTATTAAATGGCTTAACATGCGAAGGAACGATTCGAGGAGATTCCACATTTCATTTTCCCCGTCCTGCTGGATCACAGATTTTTGATATGCTTCTGCCCGCGCATTTATGTACAATATGAGTATTGGGATTTTCTACAATAATATCTTGAAATCAATTCTCAAAGATCCTGTAACAGGTGATTAAGAAGACTCATTATATTAGTTTTTTACCATCTGCCCCCATGATTGTTACGTATTCATATGCGACAACTCGCTGGTTCAGTCAAGAAATTTCAGACTTGGACGCTGAATATCGCAAGGGGTCTATGGCACCCCACGTTTCCTGTCACCGTTTGCCATTCTGTTTTCTCATGGGCAATATCAGATATAATTGCAAGCCAATTACTGTACCATTTTTGGCTCGCAGTTTGCCGGTTGGTGCAGCCCACCTGCATATCCGATATTTCCTCTCTGATGCTATCCAGCCATAAAGTTGTCGGCCTGTCTCTAGGTCTTTTCTGGAATGGGTTCTGGAAACTATGAATCAAGATGTTTATAATCCACCTGTCCTCTTATCGACCTTTAAGAAGACCTATATTTAAGATGCCTGGCCGTCAGACTAGTAGACTTTTTGCGATTTCATGTCTTTAATCGCGGTTCATGAAGGCATGCGATTGG